AATTGTGGTTTCAATATTTTTACTTTTTTTTTTTCCAAATGAAAGCCAAGGTGCTGACCGACTGAAAGGACCTGGCCACTAACAGAGGTCTCTATCCCATGGCTCTTTTTTATACTTATAGCACAATGATATGTGGAGCACTTTAGTAAGAGTTTGATGTCTTATTCAATTTAGAAGTACAATTGGAGTGTTTTCTGGCACTCATACTTTACCATTTAACTTGGCTAAGGAATGGATTTCTCTAGCCTGCTGTAGACTACAGAGAGACATGGGATCCTTCAGGCAATAATGTAGAGATCATAATTTAGCAGCCACCTTTCTTTACCTATTCCCAGTTGTATCTGCTCTCTATCAGTGCAGGAATTCTCTAAGGATTAACCTGTATTTGGTGTTTGCAAGGTGTAAAACTGACTTTACTTCTCATTTGGGTCACATGAGGCTCAGTAAATACTTGTGATTTTGCCCACTTTTTATGGCCTCTTTGACTTATTTTTATTTGTGATACAGCCTTTGACCATCCAAAAAGGACAGGAAGAGTCCCCAAGTGCTCATAACCAGCTGGTCACAATAGAGAGATGCAACACAGCTGCCATTTTTATCTATATTTACAACAAAATGACTTGTATGGACAGTTGCTTAAAAGGATAAGCTCTGATACTGCAAACAATTATGTTTTTGTTCTGTTTTGGTTAGTTTTTTTTTCTATCATTTACAATACATTTCGAACTGCAGCATTTGGGAGGAATCAGAAGGGGGAAACAGTAAAAATCCTCAACAAGAGGCTACAAGGGATACACATGACCCTGCTACTGCGTACCTCCAGCAACATTACTAACAGGGAGAGTGGGACAGAAGGGCCTTTTCATGTTTATTTAGTGCACATAGACCTGCTGGGGCTTCTCAGGTCTCTGAGTTTATAATTCAGATGCTATTTTGCACGGCAGTTCCACAAGAGCTCAGTCTGTTTATTCTCTGTCTGCTGCCTGATGGGATAACCCTGAAAGTAAACAAATAGTAAATATTGGACTAGCCCTCAGCCACAATGAGTCACTTTCTCATGGCGAGTGGTGGACCCGCTGCCACCGACTTCTAACCAGCAGAAATCTGTATGTTGGTATGTACCCTGAAAAGAAAAATAGGCATCCGTGAAGTAGGGAATCAAATTCAGGCATTCCAACTCCTGGGCTGCTCTGCTGCTGACACAGATCTGCCAGAGGGAATCAACTGCTAGAAAATGGACTGAGAAAATAGGATGTAGTAAAGCTGTCTGCAGGGCAAGGCAGCATTCAGCAGGCTGCCGTGACAGTCCATGATGACTGCTGGAAAGTCACAACACCACTAGGTTAGAAAGAGTCATTTAATAGAAAAAATACATTAGTTTTTATAATTTCTCTAAAATAAATGCATATTTTGAATTTTGTCATGCATTTCAAGGTCACTGCATTTTTTCTCTTTTTTATGTTCTTTCCCATGTTAGTTTTATTATTATCTCCTTTGACTACCAATGAATTTGGGGTTTCTAGTAGCATGTTACTGTTAACAGATAACTTATATTAGCTTCTTTTTCCTTTTAAAATTATTCAGAGCTTAAGAGGAAGCCTTCAAGGGATGCAAGAAGTGGCATGATTCTTCTTTCTCCCTTAACTCTCTACTTGAGATAACTAAGGCTAGACAGTTAAAGCAATAAGTGACTAGATGTTAATCCAGTCAGAACTTTGTAGATCCACGGCAAGAAAATAATCCAGCCTTGCTGCATCCTGTTAAACAACAATCGATCACATCACAAAACAAGAGTCAAACATCTCAGCTGCAGTCACACATTTCTCTCTGATTTCTATCATCAAACATGTTTCACATCCAGATTCTCCTGCTCTGCATACACTCTGAGGTCCAAGGGACACATAACATCTTCGAAAGTGCTACAAATGTCTAAAGATTTGATAAACTTGGCCTCTGCTCCTGCTTCTGATACCTGACAGACTACATTTTTTTTTCTGCTTAATTTTATTTATCATGTGAATTCTTTTTGCTGCATAATTTCCTCCAGCAATTATATGAGCAGTTCATGAGCAGATCCATGTTTTATATTAAATATCCCAAACTAGAGCACTTGCAGTTGGGCTAAAATGCCATTTTTTTTTCCCCAGCAAATGATCAGACCAGGGTTCCGGTGACTCACTTATAGCAGCTCTAATTCTGCAGGCCAAGGGATTCTCGAGTTCAATTAGGGTATAAAAAATTGTGTTTTGCTTGAGTAGATAAGTTTGCAAGTCATTAGTGTTTGCTACACTTACTGCCCTGCTCTGGAAACCTCAGTCATAGTTGTCTTTGCTCTTGGGAGTTTTATATTGGTTAATGTAAAGCTGCTTATATGAAAAATTAACTTACACATGTTTCTGGAGGTGGGAAGACAGTTATGAAGGATCAGATTGATAAGGAAAGGAGATGTGTACAAGTACTGATGGCTTCTGGGACTAAAGAAGCCATTTACACACCTGACAATTCTTAGGTGCTCAGGAAATTGAAAGAGCAACCTAAAGCTCAGCTGCTTGATATATTCAGCTCTTCCCTAGTGACTCAACCAAAGGATTTGTCTCAAGGACCTCTTCATGTAGTACGCCTTGCTGCTCAGTAGTGCCAGATCACAGCAGAACCGAACTAGAGGTTCCTAAGAGAAAGGTGTTTTATAGATATGTTTTCTGGCAGAATCTGAGTATATGTTTAAAATTTAAACTTCTGCTTCTTTTGTGACTCAAGGCCACAATAAGAAAGTATAGAAAATGTCAGGTGTGTTCCTTCCCAGAGGCTGCTTTATGAGGCACTTGACATAAGTTTTGGATTTGGGTTTTTCATTCTTTCTTTCATTCATTCACATTTTGTTCCACCCTGAGATCTGGAAATAGTTGGTACATAGCAGGCAGACTGGCAATATTTCCTGTATCCCTGGCTATCAGTAGTAATTAACATACAGGTCTTTACATCTCGAAAGACCTTCTTTGACTCCTTGAGACTCCTTGTGATATAGGGATGGAGGAAATTCAACAAAACATGGATTATATGACCAAAACATGGATGAATCCATGTGGCTGTTGAGCAAACTAGCTGCTCCACTCCAGGCATTTTTCAGAAGCACTTTAAGATGATATTAACTGGCAGTTCATCACAGCTTGTTTTCCTCGGTGCACGTAAGGGACTGTGGAAACCAACAGGAGGTTCTTCAGGTCAGGGTTATCCTATTTGATGCAGTGTGAATTAAGGTAGGGCTGGTGACCTAAAAGTTCACATCTACTTGAGTTTGAAAGGCAGTGACTTTCATCAGTATCTTGACTTGCACAAAAGTAGGATCTTCTCTTCTGTCCACCCCATCCCTTCAGCTGATGGAGAGGATATGACTGAGGCTTTCTGTGAGCCATTACTGCTATTACATCTCTGAACTAGCAGGCCCAGATTAGTAAGAATTGCTAAGTGGAGTGAACAGACAGCCTCCTTCCATCCTCCTTCTTATGATATTTTTGACACTGGTCACTGTGGGCTTCCTCTTTAGAACATCTTTAGCTAAGTTTCTTACCTGTTAAAATGGGTGGGATGTGTATTGCAGGTGTATCTTTTCTCCTGGGCTTCTTCTGTTCCAGTTCAGTGATCTGAGAGCCTGGACTCACTCGCTCCCTCTGTGGTTTCTCGGTGATACCATACCGTTTCAGCAGGTTATCAGAGAAGTCTGAAAGTATGCCTGCAGGGAGGAATGAAAGAAAATACTTCTTCAGCCTTGTTTCACACTGCATGAGTGTAACACAGTGCAGTGTGAGTACTTTGTGCAGTGTATCTACTCTCTATGGTTTGCAAAGTTGTGGATTTTCTCTATGTAAGGTATATCCTGTAGACTAGAGTGAATGAGTGATGCTATTAAGCCAGCTGGTTTTTGCTGGTACATAGTGGACTAAGCTGCAGCCCATCAGAAATGATGGCGAAGATGAGTTCTGTCTTGTATTCCAAAAGGATTAATATCTTCTCAAAGTTGTTTAATCATATGAATGCTCAAGCCTGTACTTAGGAGCAATGTGACCACACAGAAATGAGATGGATACTTCAGATAAAAAATGCAGCTCTCCAGGTTCTGGGCCATTCTTCCCTAAGAGAGAAATGTTTGCAGATGGATACACGTGAAAGCTGAGCAAAGACAACTGTATAGAGTGGTGAGTTCAACACCTGGATTACACATACTGGAAAAAAACAGTTGTTTGTTTTTCATCTGGTAAGTGTGCACCATTGAAGATAGATACACAGGCGACTGTGCTAGCAGTTACCAGCTAACTCCTCTGTGTATGTGTAGCATGGGAAAATGCAACGTGCTCCGTACAAGAATGCTGGTCCCTCCCCGGAGAGCAATGCAAGGACTGCTTGTTAGCAGAGAGAAGTGGTAAACATTTATTCCCCAGTACCAACAAGGGACACTTGGAAGATCATCATGTTTCATTGGCAGTCCCCAGCTCCTCCTTCCTTTCCCCAGGTTGGTGGCATTGGCTCTCAGATGTCAGAGGTCTGTGGATGAACAGCAGCAGAGAGCATCCTACAAAGAGTCTCTTTGTTGCTCCAGTGGTTTCTGGCTTCCTGAAACACCCACCCTTTGCCAGAGTTCACAAGAGCCCTGCGTCTTCCCAGAGAAACAGTGGGCAGACAGCTGTGCTCACGTCCCACTGAGCACAAGCTGCGCAAGGAAGTACAGGAGTTGGATCCTTTTTGATTTTGAATTGAATGTGATTGCCGGCTGTGGCTCAGTTATTAGAAATAAGCACACATCATTTGTCACATAATGACAATGAGAACGTGAGCTATAAGGGAGGATTTTTTTACAGAAGCACACACACACACACTGACATTGATATTTACAGATGGTGTGAGAACTCAGTCTAAAAAATGAAGGCTTTTGAAAAATCCAGTCTGTTAGTCTGCCTTTCCAGGTGTATGTAGAATAGATAGACTTTCTTGTTCACTTCTAAAGGGATATTAATTATAACGGATCTTTGGACCTTTGTCCAGATTCAATCCACTGAAATGGATTTGAATTTGGAAGTCAAAAGATGGATTGCTCACCTGATAGGGGTGGTGGGGTGTGTATTGCTGGTGTATCTTTTCTCCTTGGCTTTTTTTGGTCCTGTTCCGTGTTCTGGGAGGCCTGGATAGTTTTGACTTTTCTTGGTTTCTTTTTGAGGTCACAGCTCTTTATCAGCTGCTCTGAAAGATCTTCTGCATAGAAGAAAAGATGAATGGAAATTGAAAGCAGAAGGGAAATGATAAAACAGATGGTGAAAAGAAAAGCTTTAATAATACTGCTTTCATCTGAGTCAGTATAAGAGGTCTCTGTGCCATAACAAATGGCATTCAAGTGATTTCAGTGGTCCTTCTGATTTGTAGGTGGCAGATGTTTAAAAAAAAAAAAAGAGGGAGAAAATCGTAAGTGTGTGGCTATGTATTACATGGCAGAGGGAAGGTGCCATCATTTAGAAATCCCAAAGCCATGACTGTTTCATTCACCCCCAACTATGTGGGTCTGTGTCTTGAAGAGTTACAAGGGCACTTTTATGAAGGGAAGATTTATACAGATGGGGCACTGAGGCACTGGTGAGCCAAGCCAGCATATTGTTCACTTCAAGAGCTGGCCTTACTTCCAGAGCTGGTGAGCAGTCAGTATTCACTTTTGATTTACATAATGTTACACTGGATTTTTGGTGTTCCTTTAAAACAAGACCTGACTCAGATGGCTTAGATGGCTGACACGGATTTTCTGCAGTGATCTGCGTTTCTGGATGCTTACACAAGCTGAAAATGTTAAAAGTCTAGCCTGTCATTAGTATCATCATACAGACCAAAGCTTTGATTTCTTAAATGTTACTTGTTTCACTTCATGATTCTCTCTCCTGTCCTCTAACTCTGAACTTTTTGCACAACGGGGCCTAATCCCAGGCTCACTCATGCTACAGGACACAGCTGTAAGTCCATGGACGAGAGGGAGGAAGGATGACCTCTAGGTTAAGTCTCTGGAAGTTGGGTGTTCTTTTTTTAGGCTGTACAGACTTCCTGTGCGAACTTAATGAAGTCATTTAATCTCTCAGTTCCTCTGGGATTTTCTTTTTTTTTTTTTTTTTTTTTTTTTTGCCTGTATAATGGAACTAATTCTGCCCAAATTCCTGTTTGCTTTAAATAATCAGTTTTATGGAACAATTATTTTTATTTCATGCACTGACAGAAGTTACAGAAGTGGTGCCTTTCGTTAGCAGTGCTGTGGGACTCAAGAAGGATTAAGATACTTTCCTTTTAAGCTGGATAAATGAAGTTTATAAAATGCTGCTTGCCTGAGGTGAGATACTTCTTTTGAAATTGCATTTGTGTTTCATTATTGCCATGACAAAGATAACAACGAGCAAGTAGATTTTTGTCTCTGGGCTGGTAAATCTTTATGACAATTTTGCAAGGCTGGAATGAGGCAACATCATTTGAAACAGAGGCAAGGACCATGAATATGCAGGAAGCACATCTATCAAGTCATGAAATCTGGTACTCAGGAGAGTGGCAGAGCAAAGATGCGCCTGGTACTCTAGGTGCAGAAGTTGTGTACAAAGTAGTCACAGGGAAGGAAACAGATAGACAGTTAAGGGGGAAAGGTGTTAAGAATATCATCCCAGTGTGGTCAAGGGGAGTATCTGAATTTTTTATCAAAATTGCATGTGTTCGAGGAAGGCTCAGCTATACCCTATCTTTCAGTTTATTGTGGTATAAATGAGGAAACGACTCTACTTTTTCTATGAAAAGAACAATGACTCTTTTTTTTTCCTTTTCTCCTCTTCAATTAACTTCCTCCCCAAGCTTCAGCTAATATTTATATGCAGGAAAAAAAAAAAAAACACTCTTTGCCTTTCCATCTGGCATCAGAAGTGTCACCAGAAGGTGTAATCTATCAGGTTTCATGAGGCCGCAGTTGTACTGCTGGAGGGAAAAAACAGCCACTGGACGGGACTTAAGGATGTAAAGATAACACCTCTCTAATTACTGCAATGACATCATCTAATAACACTTACCTAAATGGTTACAGTGTGAATCTCGCTTGTCCAGTCTGTCTTCGGGGATATCAAGTGGCTGAACATATTCTGTTGACATCATTGAAATACTGGGGTTTGAGGGTTTTTTTCCCTTGGAAGCTGCAGCAACCATTAAAAAAAAAAACACAAAACTGTGACATCAAGCTGACATGTTGATATTATATATCCACTTGCTAGCCAGATCATTAGAAGTTCCTGCCTTCCAGCTGCTCTTTGCCATGCAGTCTGTTGGCCTGATTTTTTTAAGCATTTTGAGATGCATTTGTTCACTGTCTTGGCTACCAACATTAAATATCCCATTTCTCCACTTACATTCCGGCAAAAAATGTAACACAAGCAAAGAAAATACAGTAGCTCTACAGAAGACTTTGACCATACAGGCAGTGCTCACAGGCACAAAATAAGTGCTAAAAGCAGGACATTTTGTTCTGGTTTTCTTCTCTGCTTTAAGCCAGCAGAGTTGTATTTGACGTCTATCATACAATCTAACTTTAATGACCAATGGTTCTTAATTAGTCTTACAACTGCAGCCACTCTAAAATAGCTCGGGTGCCTCTGATGACCCCGGTGCGAGTGCTGAACCTGAAAGGTGGCGGGGACCTCAGACCCCAGAAGCAGTGATGTACACATCTCCTTGGCAGAAATGCGTGGGACTAGTTTCTCAAAGCTGTTTATTCACCTATATTCTGTAGGTCTCAGTGGATTGCATATGGGACTTCAGGCCCATTTTATCCTTGGTTATGGATAAATGGAGAGGGGCCTGGCTATCTCCCCTAGCACCAGGCAGGCTGCGACTTTGCCCCCTTCAGGCTGTCATCACAAGAAGAAGATTAGACCATTTTTTTACTGCTGATAATTTCTGCAGTGACTTAGCAGAAACCCGTCAGAGTAATAGTGCAATGTTCTAGGAAAAAAAAAAAAAAGAAGAAGAAAGAAAAAAAAAGAAACCTTTGATCTTAAGGTTGTGTCCTGGTTGATACAAGTATCTCCCTTCAGGCAGAAACAGCTGTGATGATACCATTTCTTAGTAGTTAACACTATTCTCCGTTTTGGGGGAGATTAAAAACAAGTGGAGATTTCCTTGTAGAAGAAAATTAAAAAGCAGGGGAATTATGTGGAACGAAAAACAGGAGACAGTGAAGAGGAGAAGAAGGGCAGTAATGGGAGAAAAAGAGAGAAGGAAAGGTGGTGCAGAGAAGGATAATAAAAGAGAAAGGTGGAAGTAAGCATGACAGATAAGAATGGGGAAAGGAGAATGGGAAAATCACACAAGAAGAAAGAATGGGAGAATGACTATGCTGTGAGACTTTGTTTTATCTTTCTGGAGGTAAAGAAATTACCTAAATTATTTCTCCCTAAATTACAATGGGTGTTTGTCAACAAAAACAAGCTTAGGGCGCGGAACTTCATTTTTCGTGACTAAACTTGAATCTATACAAAGATCAGTTAACCCTGACGCAAAATCCAGTCACACATATATTTGGCAAACAAAATATGAAAGGCCAAAGTCATGCTCATACGTTCAGCCAATTCTTTAGGAGATGGAAAAAAACATCCGAAACTCTAGTGACTTCAAAGTAAATGGAGCAGCACTGGTTTGCAGCAATAAAGGTCAGGAACATTGACTCATAATGTACTTATGGGATTAACTCCCATGTCCTTTGGGATTCAAAAATTCCTTCAATTTCGTAAAATCCTATAAATGCTGAATCAGGTTTGGATCAAAGGTGGAACCTCTTGATGCTCACTGCAGTACTTGCCCAGCCCAGCTTCACACATGTGTTTAATGGTTATGCTGCCTGGAGACTCAAGTAGCCTTTACAGGAAAAAAATAAAAGGTATTTGCCTCTTACAAAGATCTCCTGCATAAAGAAACCTTTGGATTCAGTTGAGTGAGAGATGATTGCTCTTTTTATCAACTCCATAAACCAGTTAGAGCTGTGTTTTAAAATAAAACGTAATGTTATTGAAAAGATAAACTTGCCACATGAAGGCCCACACTACTTTTTATGTTTTCATGAGAAACTGTTGTATCTTCAGTGCCATCTGATTTTAGGAGATCTGATGAATGCATTCCAGATGCAAGCTAAATATCATGGTTACAGGAAGAATGTTCTTTTCTAAACACGATCTTGTTTGTTTATAATGTTTTTGGTAAAACCAGTGATCCATTTCAGACTATGGACTCTTTTCAGGAGGTGTTGAGCCAAAAATGCTGGGGAGAGTAAAATTTAATTGTAACATTGGTAGTAACCTGCACTGAGTGAAATGTCTTTAAAATTTGATTAACTTTGGTTGGATTTCGCTAAGGTGTTTCATTTGAGTTACTTCATCTAATAAAAATAAAACTTTATAAAGAGAGATTGTCTAGGACTGAGATATGTAGAGTATGAGAAGCAGGCTTAATTACTTTTTCTTAACATGGTTGCTCGAAAAATAGCAAATAAATCTCTTTCTTAGATTTGTCTTTTTATTTCCACCATCACAGGTCCCTAGCCCTCAGCATCTTCAACGCTTTAAAACAGGGATTTATAGCATATCTTCAGATGTACTTGATTTTGCCCTGGCTTGCATTGCCTTGATTACAAATGTATTTCCACACTGCGAACTATGTGACAAAAGAATAACAAAAACAGAAAGATTGCCAGAATATATCATAAAACTTGACAAAACAGTAATTTGACACTATATGCAGTGCCTGTGATATAAGAAGACAGTAGTGATACTGTATCCCATCGCTGGACAGTATGCACAGGTCTCATTCAGACACGGAGGTGATGTATGTGAGCGCTGTAATGGCGCTTTCCCAAACCACCAAAATCAATTCCCGACAGCAAAGAAACAGATTCCCCAATAATGTTACATGTGGAATGGGAGAGTGTTGCAGTAACTGCAGGAGCGCATTAACTTGCCTTTACAATCGGAAACACATTCCCGGATTTTAGTGTTAAGTGCAACTCCTTTCCTGCTAGTGTTTGTGGTAACCTCATATGCCCTGTCTGCAGTCGTGCGTCACCTTGGTAGGTGACCTGTAATTTACGTGATGGACCTTTTTATTTATTTATTTTTTGCACGCAGTTACATCTCTGGACATAATGAGCCACATTCATCCTTCAGGCAACTTTGATGTTTACAGTGGAGCACTAAATCACACTCAGCAGGAGACACTTTCTGGAATGGGTATAGATTTTTCCATACGAACTAGGATTCAATAGTCATTTAGCCTGAGACTTTTGTACAGTATAGCTTGGCCGTGGCTCTCCCACAGGCATGTGTGCTCAGCTAAGCCACTTGGAGTCTCCAGCTTCTGGGAAAAAACAGAGCTGATGGAGATGCCTAAATGCTTCCCTAAAGCTGGCCATGACGGAGTTCTAGTTTTGCCAGTTTAGTTCATTTACTCCTTGTGAAAGCATTCAGCATTAAATAGGATTGGCTCTATTTAGAAAGAGAGAAGAGTAAGGAAGGATAGGGCAAGCTGAAAAGCACAGATTATTAAAAGCTATTTCATCCTCCTAAGGACTCACTCACATGCAGAGTCACTGGGGTGTGATAGCAGGACTCTCCTGGGCACACACACTTGTAAGACACTTGTAGGATGGAAAATAGCTGAACCTTTTAGTTTCAAATGATCACCCTAGTTATTGATGGGTTTCTGGGTAGCTTAAGGAGAACACTCCAAAATGTTGCCAGTCATTTTTGACCTGAACTTTTATTTGCTATATGTGCAAAATTAAAATGCTCATATAAGTATCCAGGCCCAAGAGATACATAGTCCATACCACATACTAACATAGTCTAAAACACACACACAAGCACAAATAATAGTTTTTTTTGATTTGCTAAAAAAATTGTCCAGTGTGACCAGTTCTCGGGTTCCGTTAGGTAAAAATATTCCACCTAGGGGCAGAGAAACTAGTTTTATTTCGCTGTTTCAGTGTGCAGTTACGTAGGTATTTGCCTTAAGTAATGGGGCTGGGACTTAGGGTGATGCTCAGCAAAGGTCCTTTTTTTACCCAAAATTCTGCAAGTCTGTTGAGAACATCTGATCATGCAGCATTTAAACCACCTTGAAGTGATGTCTCATGAGAAAAATGTCTGGTAATATACAGCATTAAAACTTTAAGAACAAAACTAAAGAGCTGAACTTTTATCACTTGACTCTTACCTGGGCACAAAAATGGCTCTGGATAGAGAAGGTTATACCTGAATTTCTTCCTGAATTCAAATGCCCTAGCATTTGAATTGTAGGATTTAATTCCCTCCATAGAAATTAGATTCTTATTTATATTTGTAAGCAGACCCAAGGGACAATTTGTTTCTCAAATGAATCATGAACACGATTATTCTTATCTATGGGATGGAGAAATGAATTTCCAACCTGCAATTTCTATCAAAGTATAGAGGGGCTAATTTGGCATAAATATATACATGAAGGCCATGGTTTGTTGTACATATATGTCATTTCCTTGTGCACTGAGCACTCAGAATTTGTTAAGTGATCAAGGACTGTACAAATTTTGCCTTTTAGTGTTTCAGTAGACTACCTAGTGCTGTCCATAAGTACATGGAAATTTCATTTGTCCAGGGGACTGCTGAAAGCAGCAAAATCCCCAAGCACGCACTGGTTTTCAGCACATGCAAAGTCATAAAAGCAATCTTGAAATTTCATGGGCTCTACCTAAGTAAAAGTATTCTAAAAGAACATCATTTTTGTTGGGTGGCAGTATACAATCTGAATCTGGATTTAATATGAAGATTTTGGCAAGCCGATAATCATGTTACCATAGACACCAGTATGATACCAGTATTTGCCTTCTCCTGGACCCAGAGCACTTACTAAGAACTCACCTTTGCTCTCAGTGGCAGGTATTGTTCTTATTGTGCCACTCAGACTGCCACGCTGAGACACTACCCATCCCTTGTAAAACAGTGCCGGCAACCGCATATCTTTTTTCCCCAATTGTGGTTTTTTTTTTTTTTGAGGGGAGGCTTTTGTTTTTGTTTTTGTTTTCTTTTAAGAGGGATGAAGAGGCATAACAGGGATCATGGTCATCCTAGGGCAAACTCTCCCTTTAGTAGACTCTTACTTGGGA